TACCAACATTATCCCCTCTACTTTTCGCTTCAGTAGCGCTATACTTCGGGTTAGGCGACAGTTTCCCGAAAAGTGGAGGGGATAATGTTGGTACCACAGAAAATCTTTACACGATATAATTTAAAGATTCTGTTCTTTGTAACTGCACTGCTAAATTGGTGCAATAAATTGAAATGAGGCAAGTATATGTTTTCTCACTCTAATCTTTTGCATTAGTTCAGCAGTGCAGTTACAAAAAACAGATCTTTAAATTATATCGTGTAGAGATTTCTCTTGGTACCAACATTATCCCCTCCACTTTTCGGGAAACTGTCGCCCAACCATACTTCGTTACAGATAGTCCACACGTACACAGTTCTTCGCTTGTGTGCGCTGCGCCACACGCACTGTAGCTACGCGGACTGCGTCCTACATATGGCATGTCTGGTCCCAGCACGTGCGCGACCGAGTACGACCGAGTTCCGGCTTTGTCTTCCAGGTGGCTTCTACTCTGGCTCAGCCACCCTCGACGTCTACGATCACAAGACAATTGTGTCGGAGGAGAATGTCATCCTGGTCTCCATGCAGTATCGCGTGGCTAGTCTAGGCTTCCTGTACTTCGGCACATCCGACGTGCCCGGGAACGCCGGTCTCTTCGACCAGATGATGGCCCTGCAATGGGTGCGCGACAACATTGGCTTCTTCGGCGGCAATCCCGACAACGTCACGCTCTTCGGCGAGAGCGCGGGTGCGGTGTCCGTGTCCATGCATCTGTTGTCTCCGCTGTCTAGGTCAGTTTTTCGGTCGCTGCAATTTGCGCGAGCCCGCGGAATAAAGAACGATCGAGTACACCCCAGTAAAAACACTTCCGGAAAAAACTCGTCACTAGCCAGAACCCTGACCAATTCTTACTAACTTAAGGTTTATTAGATAGTAGCTATGTAGACACTAAATAGGATACTAGCCTATATTTCTAGAACTAGGCAAGGAAAAATAGCAATTATTAATACAACCTTCTCAATAATGAATAAATTTGCATGTGAAAGGATTCTACTTTTTGAAACACTAATTTTATGTTATTTGCTATTGAATAGTGAGATATAATAGTTTACAATGTAGAATCAAATAATGAAAACTATTTAGCAGAATTTAGTATAAAGAAAAGTTTGGTTAGAAATTGGTCAAAAATTAGTTAAAAACGGACTAATTTTACAGTTACTGGTGAACCAAATGTCGTCTAAACTGGTCAGAAACTAGCGGAGTAACCAGAATTCCTGGCCAGTTATTGGCTAGGAAGAAGTCGCTCGTTCTACTCGGGCAGTTCACGAGAACAAGCGTGAAAAATTCCGAATCGCAAATCCGCCGATGTTAACTCATGAAAAACTACAGTTATTTCATTGATTTACAAAGGCCTTTTCTCGTAGACATTGAACAAGTGTTAATACGAATTCAACGGTTTTCAAGCAGAAATATAAAGTATGTATGAAAAGACAATCAACCTAATATTTCATAACAGCTTCAATTAAAATATCAGTCTATTCATTTAGAGGAGAGATCTCGGATTGAAACTATTTTTATCGAGGACATAGATATATCTGATGGAGAGAATCAGGTGCTAGAAATATCAAAATAAAATGACATATCAATCAAGTGATTTTGTTGGATTTGGTTTCCGAGCTGGAGCCTTGTTTTTTGTGAATTTGTTCCCAACGTATCGTGCAAACATCCCCGATGAAGTGAATTGAAATGCACACGAAACGTTGGAAACAGATTCGCAAAAACGAGGCTCCAGCCTGGCAGCCAAATCCATCATTTCTTCACATTGCGCGACAGCTTCAAATGTCAAATCAAATAATTTTATCCGATAAAAGTGATGAGTCTCATAAACGAGATACTAGCCGTTTAATGGGTTAACACCGGTTTCAAGCCTCTCCCTACCTTGTTCTCGGCGAAGGTGCGAGCTGGAGCGAGAGAGCCAGCGCTTGCTCGATTTCAGGCACCTCTTCAACCAGGCGATAATGCAATCCGGCTCGCCAACCGCGCCGTGGGCGATAATCTCACGCGAAGAGTCGATAGTACGCGGCATCCGACTAGCAGAGGCGGTCGGCTGTCCGCACGATCGTAGCAATCTGCGGGAGGTCATCGACTGTCTGGTGAAGAAAGACCCGGTGGAGCTGGTGAAGAACGAGTGGGGCACCCTAGGCATCTGCGAGTTCCCGTTCGTGCCGGTGATCGACGGCGCGTTCCTCGACGAGACGCCCCAGCGTTCGCTGGCCACATCCTCCTTCAAGAAGACGAACATTATGATGGGTTCCAACACGGAGGAAGGCTTCTACTTCATCATCTACTATCTCACGGAACTGTTCCGCATCGACGGCACCGAGGACGTGAAGGTGTCGCGCGACCAGTTCATCAACGCGGTGTCCGAGCTGAATCCTTACGTCAATCAGATCGGCCGGCACGCCATCATTTATGAGTACACGGACTGGCTGCACCCTGACGACCCGCATCTCAATCGCGACGCCATCGACAAGATCGTCGGCGACTATCAGTTCACCTGCAACGTCAACGAGTTCGCCGGCCGATACGCCGACACCGGCAACAACGTTTACATGTACTACTTCAAGCACAGGTAAAATGCGCTCTCGTTTGTGACACCTTTCTCCTCAGAGTGTCTTTCCTATAGTTCGCCAACAGCGACAAAGTGTGACACAATATCTATTGGTTTTGTGCAGATCCGTGAACAACCCCTGGCCGCGATGGACCGGAGTCATGCACGCCGACGAGATCAACTATATTTTCGGGGAGCCTTTGGATACGTCCAGAGGTTACACAACCGAAGAAATGTACCTCTCTAAGAGGATGATGAGATACTGGGCGAACTTCGCGAAAACGGGGTAAGATAAACGCGCAGTTTCACGTGATTGCGAAGGGACGTTCTTCTCGCTGGTAGATTTCTTGATAAAATAATCAATAATTAAACACAAGAGCTTCCAATTAGCTTAAACTATGCAATCTATTCGAAATCAACTTTGCTCTAATAGAATCTTGCATTGAGATTTACAAAAATGTACATCTCCGAAATATGCCTAAGTATGCTTAAAAATCCGTCAGGAAGATAATCTTCTGCGAGTTTTCAACTACACGGAGAGAATTTTTTAAATTAAAACCTTATCAGAGGATTTTATTACCGAGGAATGGATCAATATTCTGCAGCACAATTCTCTACCCTTTTATTTCACATACTTACATTTTAGGAACTGAAATGTGCTACTAGAACACTTGTCATATTCTAACGAGATTCGCTGTTTCTTAACTAGCAAGATTAACCTTACTGACAGTCTATTCCTGGACTACAAAAGACCTAGTGAGATTGAAAAAAATCCATATAAAAGAAAACACTCTCTCCGTGTAAGGTCATTTTCAAAAATATGCTTGAAAAATATTTCCTGTATCCTCCGACGCTTTCAATGCGTTTTGCGAAGCAAGAAATCCCGCGTGACTTCAGTTGTGAAATTCCACGCGACTTTGGCTCTTATTCTGATGTTTTCTTGATGGATAAAAGTGTCTCTAAATAAAGGCTCACAAGCCTTCCGACTGGCTCTCAGTCGCATTTGGAGGCACTTCTATCGATGAAAGAATTCAGAATAAAGGCCTTCATGTCGCTTCGCGCTACGCGGAGAGACGTATAGCGGCGCGAGAGCGCATTGTCACAGACGTGTGTCTCGATTCTCGGGCAGGGATCCGAACACGGGTGAGGTCGACACGTGGATGCAGGCTCAATGGCCGCAGCACACCTCCGCGAACAAGGAGTACCTGACTTTGGACATCAACAACACGGAGATCGGCAGCGGCCCCAGGGTGAGGCAGTGCACCTTCTGGAAGAAGTACCTGCCGCAGCTGCTCGGCGCCACGTGTGAGTATACACAGCCGTCGACTGTCTCGCCGATCATCGGCCGCTCGGATCGATGATCCCTCGACGTTCTCGCGTCCGTCAGACAGAACCGTCGCGGACTGAGCGCGCGCGATCGACGGGACGAGGTGGTCGATTCATCGAATCGGCTGCGCGGCGCGACGTGGCGCGGATTGTCTTGTATGACACCTGTTGAGCGCCAAGTACGTTTGATTGTTCGCACGGTTGACTAGTCGGCGCGATCGTTGAAATCGCTCCGACATAACTTACGTGGAACAATGCGTGCCCGACGCGCGTACGTAAACCGACGCCTCCACCCGGCCGTGGGAGATCGCTTCGCTTCACCTCGCCTCGTCCCATCGTCTCATCTCGCCTCGCCGTTGGCGTCGTCCGCCTCGAGTAATCGTACCGGGTATAATCGGTTGTTATTTTATTACAAAAGCCGCTTTGCGCGAATCAGCGGGCACCAGTGAAACTGGAGCGTGGCTGGTTCTCTTTACTCGCTCCAACTGCAACGGGGGTAAAGAGTAATTACGACGTTCCGAACGCATTTGGCGACGGTGTCGCGGGAGCGTGAAGCGTGAAGCGCCGCCGGTCAGGGTGCGCGAAAGGGTCCGGGGTCAGGCCGAGGAACGAACGTTCCGCCTCGCAAAACGGTCTCTCTCCGTCGCGTCGCAGAGGACGCTATTGTGCGAGGCGCAACACTCCGCCGGCGCTCGAGTTTACATCATTTATTCAGAACCGCTATCAAGTGCGCTTCGCCAAGTGTCCCACTTAAGGCCGCGGGGCTGTGCGCGGCCGCGTGGCTTCGACGATGAGAGATCTCGTGAGAAAGTCACGGAGACGACGTGTACAGTCCTCACGACTACCGCCGTCTGTTCACCCTCTTTACAGTCACCGTCGTTGGGTATGACGTTACCGTCTTTACGCCAAGGACTGAGAATCGTAGTCCTAGTCAGTCGTCGCGTCTCTGACAAATAAGCCTGATTTCGCGGATCTACACGGGAAAAAGGAAATTTGGTTGGATTAACCAAATATCGGGTAAAAAATGAGCTAAATACTTTATTCTATTTTGTCCCACTTTATCGGATAAAAATCCGAAAACAAACTTGGATACCCGAGTCGAAATTTTGGTCCTGTGGTAAACTTTGAATTTTACAACACAGTAGGAGCTAAGTTAGGAAAGTAGGTTTAATTCTGACGATACAATTTACTTCTACTTTGTCGTTGGATATGACGTTACCGTCTTTACGCCAAGGACTGAGAATCGTAGTCTTAATCAGTCGTCGCGTCTCTGACAAATAAGCGTGATTTCGCGGATCTACACGGGAAAAAGGAAATTTGGTTGGATTAACCAAATATCGGATAAAAAATGAGCTAAATACTTTATTCTATTTTGTCCCACTTTATCGGATAAAAATCCGAAAACAAACTTGGATACCCGAGTCGAAATTTTGGTCCTGTGGTAAACTTTGAATTTTACAACACAGTAGGAGCTAAGTTAGGAGAGTAGGTTTAATTCTGACGATACAATTTACTTCTACTTTGACTCTGATAATGTCCGAAATTTCCCTCTTCACTTTCTTTAGCGTCAAAATAAGTTATATTATAGGCTTCAGAATATCAAAATAGATGCTGAATAGAATAATGAGGTTGAAAATAGGATCAAAATTTCGACACAGATAGGTTAAATAGAATCAAAAGAGATTGATGTAGGTTTCAGAGTATCAAAACACGTGTTGAATGTCATAATAAGGCTGAGAGTAGGGTAAAAATTTCGACTCTGGTTCGAAAATAATATTTTTTTCCTGTTAACGCGAATTGCTATTCACGTTGTCACGTTGTCACTTGTCAGTTTCCATCAGTAAACGTACTTTTACTCTCTTCGAAAGTACGATTCTCTGACTGAAGAAATGAATTCGAATGAATCTCGGATTGTTTCGCGATCCGATCGATGATGAAGCGCGATACTTCGATCGCACGTCACACAATACGTAAGAAGAAGTGATGAAAGCATACCTTTTCGGTCATCGCGTTTCCATATTCTCGATCATCTCGCCTTCGATTCTTTCGCACGGTGACGTTCAGCGCGCTGCGTTGACGTTCCAAGAGAAATGGTGTGTCGCGTTTGTGGTCAGCGAGCGGTTCGGTGGATGTCGAAGCGAACCTCAATTAATTACAACTCGTATCAGTGGACGAATCGATGTTAATTCGACGTAATGAACAAGGGCCGAGCGATTATAGTCGCCGCCGTCGCTTAATAATAATGAGCCCGCCGTACTATACGACGCGCCGCGCAAAACGACGTGGCCGACATTGTCCTCACGTCGCTCAGCCTTGTATTATTCATTTTGATTACATGCCGAAGCAGGCCACCGCATTCGCGTGTTTCCGCCGAGACGTATGTGTTGATAATCTCTAAATCTTTAATCATCCAATTTTCTAAATCTAGATCCATCCGCTGCCTTCTCCCTGCGCCGCCGCCTCCTTCTCTTTCTCCTCTTCCTCTTCCTCCTCCTCGCGAGCGTAACGAAAGTCACGATGACAATTTATCCATGTATAAAAAGAGATACTGGATCGCGCGTATCAGAAATTGTCCAATATGCAGCGGCTCGCGGCTCGTTAATGGATTGTTTCACCGGCAGTCCGGGGTGTGCACGATGGTTTTCCGCGCGGTCGCGATAAAAGTATGAAATTTGTAGTCGCCCAAGTAACAACGTCGCTTTATATGATAATTACGACGGCAAGCTCTGTCGCGGCTCAACCGCACGCACGGGCCGCGATTAAACGGTGTGGCGTGCGAGCGTGTCATCGCGGTCACGAAAGTGAGAGAATTGCCGCGGCGTTTTACAACGATCGTGTCGCACATAATCGAGAAAGAGAAAGAGAGGGAAAGGGACGGTAATTTATTTACTTATTTACACACATATCTCTTGTAATACAAGAGATTAGACAAGACTGATGTGTTACTACTGTGTCCAAAAAGTAAGACCAATTTTCAAGTTAAATTGCACGGGTATATCGAATGTCAGAAATATTTTTTTTTTTCTAAATTGGTAGCACTGTGACAGACATCTGTGTCAAATTATGCGTCGTTTGCGTGAAGCTATTCGCAAAAAGAGGCCGGAATTGTGGAAAGATAACTCTTGGTTTTTGCACCACGACAATGCGCCATCTCACTCTGCATTGGTTCTTCGGGACCATTTCGCTAAAAATTCGACCTATATCGTTCCACAACCACCATATTCACCTGATTTAGCACCGTGTGAGTTCTGGCTATTCTCAAAAGACTGCTCCGGGGACACCGTTTTGACTCGATTGAAGAGATACAAGCTGAATCGAAGAAAGCTTTGAAGGCCATTCCGGAAATCGACTTTAACAACTGTTTCGAGGGTTGGAAAAAACGTTGGCATAAGTGTATTGTGTCTGAGGGGGATTACTTTGAAGGCGACGAAATAGATTTGGAATAATAAATAAAGATTTAAAAAAAAAATTTTAAATTGGTCTTACTTTTTGGACACAGTAGTATAAGTAGGTCAGAGGGAGAATTCACACCTTGGCAGAAAAGCAGAAAATAGAAAGATAGAAGCCTATTCAGAACTGGAGCCGGTAGTCAGGTAGTCGACAATTTCTGCTTTTCTGACGCGAATTCTGATTGGCTACACTGAGAGAAGGATTTAGTAAATATTACTAAAATTTGGTTACTATTACTAAATGGTAGACGTAAATATAGCGGGCCAAAGCTATGGCAATACTTATTAATTAATTTAGTTCTGTAAAATAAATTATTTATTTGACAGAAGTAAAATTTATTTGCTTCCAGAATATATTTGGTAAATAAAACTTATTGAATAGTTGAGCAAAATAAGCGATTTTGTAATAGTTACAAAATTTTTGGTAGGTTCAACCAACCATCTGTAATAATAGATATTGAAACGATATAATAACTGCAAATGAATGAATTTTTCGTTGTGCCTGCAACAAAACATACTTATACTAATAACAAAATAGAACTCGTACCTACTGAATCTTTTATTATATAGGATATAACAATTTCATAACAATTATCAAATATCTGTTCATAACTGTAATATATTTCATATTAAATATTTAACATTAAGTAATTATTATTAAATTATTTAATTGATGTTACTGTGAATGCAATTACGTCATACTCCCAATCTATTAAATATTTCGTAATTATTATAATATTTAGTATTAGATACTAAGGATTCAACGAATTTCTATAACTAAATGCAGTTTGTTATAATTACCAGACTTTTCTCTCAGTGTATCGTTTTTCAATTTTTTACTCTTCTGTCAAGGGGTTTGTTTTATATTCCTGTACTGCTGAACTGATGCAATAAGTTAGAGTGAGACAAGTATATTTTTTCTCGCCCTAACTTACTGCATCAGTTCAGCAGTGCAGGAACGAAAAACAAACCTAAGGTGTGAATTCTCTCTAAGCGAACGAGATCTTAGAATAGATATTCTAAAAATAAAGATGAGGAATGTACAAAAGCAAAAGGGAAGTTCATGAGTAATGGAGATAGTTACTATTACTTTTGCTCTCTCTCTCTCTCTCTCTCTCTCTCTCTCTCTCTCTCTTTCTCTTTATTCTGTCGCACGTCACGTGGGTCGTACGAAAATATCATTCTCGTTAGGGACTCTATCAGTCCATGACACGCTGACAGGAGGAGTGACGTCGAGAGAGGTCGAGACGAAAAAGAGCCGCGATAACGAACTCCCGCTAAATTGCTTGAATAACTTCGGGGCGAGTTAAGGGAGCGAGTCCGGATCGACCGTCGGAAAGAAAACACTCCTCCACGAAAGAGACGTCGGTGTGCGTCGACATTTGAAATCCATCCAATCCAGAGGAACGGGACTGTGTTATTTTTCTGTAGAAACGCCTGTCGCGCCTCGTGGTGCCCTGCGACTCATCTCCCTTCTGCGTCCGGCACGTTTCTCCGGTGAACGTGTGCGAACGGTTCCTCCCTCGTTCG